TATGCATATTGTTCATTTTCTAATGATATCTTCTGTTCTTTAATTGAAATGTGCATTGCTAACAGCGGAGCTATCTCAGCCAAAAGGCTGCTTGTTTAGAAATAGATCATGCCGCTTTCCCATCAAAATCCAAGCCAAAAGATCGTACAACAACATCAGCAAATCTCTTTCGTGCTGCGTTCAATAACTTTAACATATGGTAATTTGAACACGTTGGCATCATCCATCGTTTTCATTGGTTAATTATCGATTTGACTTGACAGGTCAAAGAACACCATTTCAGGTCAAAACATGGCGGATATTCATTTGTACAGCATCGAGCGTTGAAAATGCGATCAGAATCGATGAAAAAATTTTGCATTTCATAACAATTCAATGAATTTATTTTTTGGACTTTATTATAATTTTTACTAGGTAATAATCAACAATTGTAAAACGCACCGCGATCATTTGCTACTAAGTAATGCAGTTGGGTTTGTTTTTATTTGAAACTTCTTTTAGAATATACTTTCGTTACTAATGAAACAAAATAATTGTATTTGCCGCACGATGTTAGTTAATTTGATTTTTTTGGAGAAAGATGCACGGTCTATTTTTTAATTCAGCTAGAAATACAAACAATGTAAATGTATACAATTTTAGATTAGCTTCTGCAATAGTTTCTTTCGTTTTGGGTGGTCCAACTGCCGGGGTTGAAAATCGGTGTAGGTGGATTTTTTAATGAAAATATAAGCCCTCTAAAAATATTTGATGATAATTTTTTGAAAATGTTTAAAAAAAAATTTCGGATAGGCGAATTTACGGCAGAACCCGGTACATGTATTAGCATTCATATTTACTATTGTTAAATATACTTGTTATCGTCTCTTCTGTCAGGCTTATGCAAATATGGAAGATTGTTGTTATAGCAATTGAATAAATATTTGCAATTTTATTTGTAGTAGTAAGAACAGAGTAACTAACTCGCCACAATAATTAGCTTCAGTAACTTTATTACCTGAAAATTGAAATCATGATTATTATTATTGTGAAATTCTATTTTATGTGGCATCAGGTAACACTTGGATGCCACATAAATGCCTTCTATCAAGTAGTTCTGTATAGTTCTGTCTTTGTTAAATCAAAATTTTCAATAATAAAAAACATTTCTCTAATCTGTCTCTTTATTTACTCTACCTAGTTGATAAATGTAGTGAATCCAGATACAGTATTTGACAGCAAAGAAGAACAATATATACAAGTTAAAGTTTTAGACTGTGATACAATTAGTCAAGTAAAAGAAAAATTCCTTGATGCTATTTACAAAAATGCACCTTACTCATCGAGGCCTAGAGTGGAACAAGTTGACTTAGGTAAGTAAACTGTTACCCATGATGCACTTGGGATGGGGTCTAAGGTCAACAATGTTGCCTATATGTTGTTTTGTTAATGGGGACACATACATATCTAAAAATGGCGATAACGAACAACCTTATTCTTTTACCCGAAGATGTGAAAGATTGGTTCTTGTCATCCAGTCACTGCGCATGCATGAATCATGTATATTGTCAATAATAGACAATAAATAAACATTAAACCTAGAAAGCAATAGATCATGCACTTTTTTTGTTTTGGTAATCCCACAATGGATCTCACCCATGCAAACACTAGAAAGATTAGGTCCCTGCCAGACAGTTTACATAATGATGTAACTGAGATCACCATGTTTTTGACTTTCACAACAAGTTTTATTGAAGTGAGAATGTGTAGTCAGTTGACAGATAACTATGCAATTGGCATACATTCAACCTTACAGAGATTACCTGACAGAGAATTTTGCTGCACTATTCCTAATGGTAAACACTTGTTTTAAACACTTTCAATCCTGTGAATGACCTATGAATTGCACTTGATGTTCATAATGCTGTTGGCAAGATGATTGTATCTGGTTTTTCTTTATCTGCCCTTGTTTTCTAGCTACGATCAAATAATTAGACAATTGGCAATGGATTATCAGTTTGTACTTATTTGGTTGTCAGGCATGTCAGAATCTACTGGTTTTCACAAAAAGTATTTATTCATTTATATGCTTTTGATGGAAACACAATACCAATATTAATACTAATAAGACATCACAGTCAATTGGTGTCAGTTTGAGAATAACCAAAATATCCACTGTGTTCAGACATTAAGAAATTTATTTTTCAAATATTATTTCTCCAGAATGGCGACAGGGCTTTGGAGGGAGACTGAGTTTAGCTGATGATGACGTAACCTGTAAAGTGGAAGGTGAATGGAAGCGAATAAATACACTTGAACACTATAAGGTAGGTCGTCACATATACATATGTTAAAGACAAACAAGTCTAACAGATAATACGGCTTTAAACTTCATACATAGTCAGATGAGAGAAATTATGCATACATACATGTAAGTATGACACTTCCATTTGCTATCTGTCTTCAAATAATTTTCACCTTCTTAATGAATTATAAACTTTATTTTTGTATTGACAGGTTCTTGATTCTGCTATCATGGCACTAGTACCCAAACAAGGTTTTAATATGTCACCTGGTGTTACAAGTCTTAAAGGTGGCACCAACATGTATGGTAGGTTTATATAGCTATGATCTATATATGATCGTTGTATTATCACTATGGCCATAAACTATATATACCGGTACAGCCTGTGTTTTTTTTCTCATCATGTCATTCACAAGAATGAAAACACTTAGAAATGCAGTATGCATAAAACATATATTGTTTTCATATTTTTGATACTTTTATGTTGATGGCCAACTTGGATAATGGTTTATTACAAACTATTAAAAGATGTTATAATTATTTTACCACTGTCAAAATACAATTCTAATAATCCAGTCAAAAAAAAGAAATTTTAATTGTTCAATTCAATTCAAATAATTATTTACTCATGGTTCATTTATTGTTTAGAATTATGGTAATTTAGTGTGTAACATTGTATATGACTCACTATTCTTATTTACAGGAAATATGTCACTGACAGCAAGTCCAGGTCACCGATCTAATTCTTCCATGCTAATAAATTCTGAAATAGCAGAGAGTGGACAAAAGTTTTGGCATCTCATTAAACAGCATGATGTTGATTTACAAAAAGAGGGAGACAGAAGCAGCAAAATGATGTCCGAAATTTACCTAACTCGGCTGCTATCCACAAAAGTAAGTTCCGCCTATACAATATTTACCTAACTTGGCTGCTATCCACTATAGTACATCCTGTCTATACAAGATTTACCTAACTTGGCTGCTATCCACTATAGTACATCCTGTCTATACAAGATTTACCTAACTTGGCTGCTATCCACTAAAGTACGTCCTGTCTATATAAGATTCACCTAACTTGGCTACTATCCACTAAAGTATGTCCTGTCTATATAAGATTTACCTAACTTGGCTACTATCCACTAAAGTATGTCCTGTCTATATAAGATTCACCTAACTTGGCTGCTATCCACTAAAGTATGTCCTATCTATATAAGATTTACCTAACTTGGCTACTATCCACTAAAGTACGTCCTGTCTATATAAGATTTACCTAACTTGGCTGCTATCCACTAAAATAAGCTCTGCCTATATAAGATTTACCTAACTTGGCTACTATCCACTAAAGTACGTCCTGTCTATATAAGATTTACCTAACTTGGCTACTATCCACTAAAGTACGTCCTGTCTATATAAGATTTACCTAACTTGGCTACTATCCACTAAAGTACATCCTGTCTATATAAGATTTACCTAACTTGGCTACTATCCACTAAAGTAAGCTCTGCCTATATAAGATTCACCTAACTTGGCTACTATCCACTAAAGTATGTCCTGTCTATATAAGATTCACCTAACTTGGCTACTATCCACTATAGTACATCCTGTCTATACAAGATTTACCTAACTTGGCTACTATCCACTATAGTACATCCTGTCTATACAAGATTTACCTAACTTGGCTACTATCCACTAAAGTAAGCTCTGCCTATATAAGATTTACCTAACTTGGCTGCTATCCACTAAAGTACGTCCTGTCTATATAAGATTTACCTAACTTGGCTACTATCCACTATAGTACATCCTGTCTATACAAGATTTACCTAACTTGGCTACTATCCACTAAAGTAAGCTCTGCCTATATAAGATTTACCTAACTTGGCTACTATCCACTAAAGTACATTGGCAACTTAGATGATGTAGTGGATGACAGTAAAAACCAGCATCTCCCCTTACCAACTCGTTATATCAATGACAATTTTCGGAAATGAAATAACATGGATGTCCACTCATCATACAGTGTAAACAAATTCGGCAGGAAACTGATTCAATTATGCATTGACTGCAACCTAATCATTTTAAACGGTAGAAGTGTGGGTGATTCAATAGGTAAATACACATGCCACACACCAAGAGGTAGCAGTACCATTGACTTTGCTATTACTTCTAAACCATTATTTGATAAAATTAATTACTTTAAAGTACATGGTCTCTCATTAATCTCAGACCATTGTTTAATAACATTGTCCATACACGCACTAAAAGATAGTCTTCTCAAAATAAATAAAACACCAAAAACAAATATATTAGACCCCCTGCCATCTAAATATATATGGGATACCAAGCAAAACATCATTTTGAAACATCACAGCTATTA